AATCAAGTGGCCTGGCATCTTTATCAAGTCCGTAGCTTACCCCAGTTTCCTCTGTAAAGTCACCCACGGTAACATCACTCATGCGTAACATCACTCATGCGATCTGACCACTCATGGTTGAGCTGGTTCAAAACGGGATCAATATTGTTGTCCTCACTGTCGCCATCACTAAACCCGTTTTCGTTGTCACTCTCAATGTTGGAGACCTCAATGTCAGACTCATTCATAACCTTCATGAGTAGTTGCTGTTTTTCGTTCTCTTTTTCTTCGGCTTTTCTGACATCCTCGCCGTCAAAACCATAAAAAACTTTGTCATCGTCAGAGTCCGAAGCTTCCGACATTTTTTTTCGCTGATCAAATTTGAAAGGTATCGACTTCTTCTAAAAAACCTCTGTAAGTTTATCACAAGTTGTTGAAACTGCTTCACTTAGCATCCATATTGAAAGGAAGTAGTATTACCTCATAATCTCACAGGATTTGAGAGATATCAGTATAAACAAGTACTGGAAGGAGGGTTTTGGGCGGTTTGATCACATACGGTCAGGGGCAGTTACGGGCGGTTTTGGCACTAAAGGGTTAAATAAAAGCCCCTCAGCATTTTGGCCAACAGCAGTTTCAAATCGCCAATCATGTCTTATTTTTGCTAATGATGCCAGTGCACGTGGCGACCACCACTGTGATATATTTAAGAAACTATAAGGCCGTTTTCCGATATTATACACATGCAAACCATAACATAAACTGTTTCATCACTAACCCTCCTAAATGTACATGTAACATGGCAGTGACCAGCACAGGTAAATGAAAACCAGTCAGGCCGCACAACCGTTGCTGCGTGAAACATGCCCGCGAGCGATCGAGATCGGCTGCTAGCTCAAATTTAGCTTGGTGCCCACAAGTTAATTAGCTTTACCCATTTCTCTTACTCTCATCGTCATCTCTGAATACTCACGAACGTCTGTGAATACTTACGAACGTCTCTGAATACAAAAGAACTATTTGTAGTATAACGGAAAGTCTGCTATTCTAGCAGAACATCCCTAAATATATAAAAACATGTCCAAATATCATCAAAAAGTCGTATTGATTAAGATTAAATCGAGTAGATTCAGAGAAATGTAGTCCCTAGTGTTAACACATAGAAGATCTTAAATATAGTATCACTTCTACTGCAATGCACAGTCCATCAATCAATACAAATCAATTGCAAATGATTAATGATTAAATTCCAAAGAGTTTGATATTATAGTTTTCACACCGAAGCTTAACACCAGTGCTATCTAGCAGACGACATATGTTGTAACGCATGCTGTGGATACGTAGGCATGTTACTAAATATAGACCTTAAACTTATATTTCGGTTAATTACCAGAGTACCTGAATTAACAAAAAGTACCTTTTTAAGAAAATTAAAAACAATTGTATCAAACCTACAATCAAGCATCACAATATACTACAACAAATTCATAGTTAAACCACAAATGCGATAAAAAGGTGAACTTCAACAAAGTTTTACATCTATGGCTATAGTCTCTGGCCTATGAATAGCCCAGAGGACTAAATAAAACAGTCAACAGGCTTTTGTTTTCCATCATTTTGAGCTCACCTGGCCCGATTGATGGCCTGGTGCGGCGTCTGTCCAGTGTCAAATTTTCACTTCAAACAACTTTTTCTCAGTAACCAAAAGGCCTAGGATGATGATTTTTGGCCAGTAGCATACTGGAGATAAAGGGCTAGTTTATTCAAGGTCACAGGGTCAAATATGTTTAAAACCTTTCAGGGTGATGATATTTGGCCAGTTACATGCTGCGATTTATGGCTACCAACTTTGTTCAAAGGAATGACTGTGACCATTATATTCAAGGTCACACAGGTTTGATATGTGTAAAACCTTTAAATGACTTCATTTGAATGATCAAAATGCCTAAGGGGATGACATTTGGACAGCTGTAACAGGCTAGGATGAAGGACCACAAATTTTGTTCGAATCAATGACCTTGAACTATACTCAAGGTCACAGGGGTCAATTATGATTAAAACCTTTAAATAGCTTCTTTAAATAACCGAAAGGAATGTTGATATTTAGCAATAGCCATGATGGACTGAAGGGCTATCAAGTTTGTTCAAATGAATTATCTTAACCTGTATTCAAGGTTACTGGGGTCAAATACATGGCAAAACCTAATAAACAACCTCTTCTGAATACCTAAAAGGCTGAGGATGTTGATATTTAGCAAGTAACATGCTAGGATGAAGTGCTTCAAAGTTTGTTTAAATGAATAACCTTTGCCTGTTTTCAAGGTCGCAAGGGTCAAATATGTTCAAAATTGTCAGCAGCTTTCTGAATAACCAAAAGGCCTATGATGCTGATATATATATGGCCAGTAGTGTGCTTCTAAATTTGTTAACTCACATGCCTGATGGTCCGGTGTCCGGTGTGGTCCGTCAACTTTTCCTTTAAACAACTTCTTCTGAAGAACAGACAGGCCAAAAGTCATGATATTTGGCTGAAAGCTTCATTGGTAGGAGCACGACAATTGAGAATTAAAATAACCTTGACCTACTTTAAAGGTCACAAGGGTCAAATGTGTCAAACACTTCAAACAACAGCTTCTGAAGAACTGAAAGGTAAAGAATCCTCATGTTTGGCTGGTGGCTTCCTGTCATAGAGCCTGACAAAGTTTGAGAATGAAAATGACCTTGACCGACTTTCAAGGTCACAGCTGTCAAATATGCCAAACGCTTCAAACGACATTTTCTGAAGAATTATAAGGCATAAAATCTCCATATTTGGCTGGTTGCTTCCTGGGATAAAGCCGGACAAAGTTTGAGAATGAAAATGACGTTCAACCTTCTTGAAAGATCACAGGGGTCAAATGTGTTAAACACTTTAAACAAATTCTTCTTAAGAACTGAAAGGTATAGAATCTTTATATTTGGCTGGTGGCCTCCTGGGATATAGCCAAAGTTTGCAAATAAAAAGAACCTGATCAACCTACTTTAAACAGAGAGCAACAACATTTTAAACAATTTGTTCTGAAGAACCAAAAGGAATGGATTCATAAGATTTGGCTGGTAGCTTCTTGGGATAGAGCCAACAAAATTTGAAGAGGAAAATGACCTTGACCAAGCATAGAATCATACGATAATAATATTTGACTGGTAGTTTCAACTGATGGAGTCGACCAAGTTTGCAAGTGAAATATTTTTAGTAGAGTAAAATATTTAATGAGAATATTTTGCTATGACTGCTTAAATATTCTAGTGAGCGATACAGGCCCTCTAGTTTAAAGAAGTGGCCTTGACTCATATTCAAGGTCACTGGGGTCAAATGTTAAAATCTTTCAGCAATTTCTTCTGTTGACGAAAAGGCCCAGGTTGATGATATTTAGTCAGTAGCATGCTGTAATATAAGGCTTCCAACTTTATTCATATGAATGATCTTGACCTATATTCAAGGTCACAGGGGTCAAATAAAAAAATAATATGCAGCGTGTTCTAATTAATGACCTTCACTCATTTTCAATGTAACAGGGGCCAAATGTTTGGAAACTTTTGAAATGCTTCCTCTGAATAACCAAAAAGCATGGGATGCCAGTAGCATGCTTCAGATAAAGAGCTTTTTGTCTGTATGGCCTTGACATATATTCATGATCACGTTAAATCAAATGTGTATAAACCTTTATATGACCTAATCTCAATAAACAAAAAGTATAGGGTGATGATCTTTGGCAAGTTGCATGCTGAAATGAAGGGCTATAAATTTTGTTCAACTTTCATGGTCACAGGGGTCAAATGCGTTTAAATCCTTATCAGGTTCTTTTGAATGGCCTATAATCACTAATACTGTTATTTTGCCTGTAGCTAAGTTATTTTTGTCCACTTTTAAGGTTAACAGTGTGAGATAAATACCAGTGAGATTTAACTTTTTAAAATGGAATCTCAGCATGTGTAACCTTTTTTGCATTCTGAAAGACCACCTTATAAAGATTACAATGTGGTATAGACACACATGGAAGTCATTAGGTACTTAGGAGGTATTTAGTAGTCAAGGCTTGAGTCTACCTCAAACTATTAATAAAGAGAGCATACAGGGTACTGGCATCTATAACTGAAACCAGTTTTGCATGGTTTTCACTCGAGCAGTGTTATATAACATTAGCAGATGAAATCTATTTACTTCAAGTTATAAATTAATACATTTTTAGCTCACCTGGTCCAAAGGACCATATAGTGAGCTTATGCCATACCACAGCGTCTGCCGTCCGTATTTTTTTCCTTTAAAACGCTATTAGTCCTGCACGGCCCAGTAGATTTTGACTTAATTTGGTCTGGAGCATCCTTAGGCCAACGGCTCTCAATTTTGTATAAACAGTGGGTGTGGCCACCCTGGGGGCAGAGGAATGGGGCCTGATAGAGTAAATAGAGGTAAAACTTTTAAAATCCTTCTTCTACCGTAGGGGTAAGGGATTTTATCCTAATTTAGTCTGGAGCATTCTTGGGCCAAGGGGACTCAATTTTGTATAAATGGTGGATGCATTCTATGATGAAGGGCTATAAAGTTTGTTTAATTCAATGTCCTTGTTTGACTTTTAAGGTCACAGGGATCAAATGTGTTTAAAAGCTTTTACCAGCTTCTTTATAATATGGAAGATGGCCAGGGTAATGATAGTTGGCCAATAGCATGTGAAGATAGAGTAGTAAAAAAAATTATCAAAGAAATTACCTTGACCTACTTGACCAAATTTCTAATTTCTAATTTTTAAAAGGTTTTAACTGTAATATAAAGCATATCATAAGATCGCTCTTAATTTGGTATCCAGGTAAGATACCAGAAGTTTAACAATTGTTTATAACATGCATTGGTATAGATGGCGGTTTGATCAATACAATTGCTACATGTATTAGGAAGTCTGTAGACCAATTCCGTCATGTTTTCAGTTTGTTTGACAAGCATGGTTTAAATAAATGTATTCAATCTCTGTTTTGTGATGTTACAGAGCTGGCATTAGTTACACACAAACCAAGAGCAGCTACAGCATACTCAATAGGCAGTACCAAATGTGCAGGTAAGTTTACAGCTTATTCAATAGAAAGTAAACAATGTGCAGGTAAAGATTACTGCATGCTTAAAAGTTAGCCCTGCAGTCCCTGTCAAACATTCCTCTCAAACACAAACAAAATGGAAAACAACATTGGCAAATGCAAGCTCCAAACAATATTTGATAACCCCAACAACAGAAAACAAATATGATAGATTTGAAACAGTGTTTGTTTTTACATTGTATAATGTATATTGCTAACTGATCCAGATGATGACAGCTATATACACAGAGCATTATTAGCTTATATTAAGAACTAAAGAACCCAGAGCCAAATTTGATCAGTGGGTACCTGGGACAGAATACTATAAAATTTCTTCAAATAAATGAGAATGCTTTAAAATTTCTTCAGAGGACAATACATTGCCTGGCATCCTCCGTAAACACTTGCTGAGGAAGTAAAATATTTGAACCTAAACAAAAACATGTAGAAATTAACCTTTAAACGACTTCTTCTGAATATGCCAGAAAGTTCCTCCAATAAATTACCCTGACCTATCTTCAAGACAAAGTTACAACATCAAATGGGTCAGGCCACTCTGTGCCTCTTTTTAGGTCACCTGAGACAAAGTCTCAAGTGACCTATTGCGATCGCCTTTTGTCCGTCGTCGTCCGTCGTCTTAGGTAGCAGTTTGATAGTATGTACCTATGAGCCCTGGCTGACCGCCAGGGGCTGATGGGTGGGGCCAAAAAGGGTTGAATTGACTGAAATTTCAAAAATCTTCTTCTCCAGACCCAGATATGGTAGAATCAAATACTCTTCATAGATGGAAGGGTCTTAAGGTGCTTTACCGAAATTGTGAATTTCTTGACCCTGGGGTCTCACATTTCCCCCTGGGGAGGGGGTAAACTTTACTATAGTTTATATAGGGAAATCACATTTTGGACCAACATTTGTTTAATTTCCATTGGAAGTAATTCAATTTGGGTTAGCATTATCAGTATTAGGTAGCAGTTTGATAGTA